AAAATTGTTCTTTGCCAACATTTTGATGGTGTGTGAGATGCAATGTAGCCCCTTTGTTCGCATTAGCCTCAGTGAATTTTAGTTATTGGCTTGAATGTGTATTCCATAACCTATCTTGTCTCATGGAGATAGGGTGTCTTGAGAGAATTGTTGTGCTTCTTTTGCGTAGATTGTAAGTCCCTCGGGTGTGCCATGAATTAACTCTCGTTCCAATTGCATCTGCTGCCCTCCCCTGGGGACCGTTTATTTTAGTCCTTCGCCCCTGGCACCTTTAATCACATTATTCACTTGCAGGTTAATTCAATAAGTAATTAGTCTTTCCCTTCAGTACATACGTCGTGTTTTTACACAAAGTATTTCACTTGACCTCACTAGGAGTGGCTACATGAGTAATCGTTGTGGATGTCGACCCATGCAAATGTAATATGAGATATGCTGCCTACTACTGCATTTGCGAGCAATAGTAACAATGATTCAATGAGCAAGTGGTGGTGCCTCACTTTGTACCGTGTAAATGAATTTTCCAATAATTCAACTGATGCTCCTAATCAAGATGGCAGGCAAGGAAGGCATCAAATTCGATCCAGTGGATATCTACTGCAAGCACAGCGTGGTAATGTGACACGTAATCTTGCACCGGTGCATCATTTAAATGAGGTCAACGTCTCGATGACGACTGCAAAAGGCGAACTGTTATTGGCGATTCTGTGAGTGGTGGTTTTCCACCCTACAGAATGATCATTTTTGTATGTGAACCTGCAATTTGCATGATTAACGCATAAATCGATCATTGGTAGAACTGCGCAAGATTTGTACAGTGTATTCGCTTTTGAATGCGGAAATTTTTGATTTGTGAAAAGTTACCACAAATGCTGCATTTGAATGATGCAGCCGCACTGACAGTTTTCGTGTATCAGGCTTCTAGATCAGAGGATACGTGGATGGGTGTAGACAAGGGAAGGTTTTATTTTCCGCCTTTTATTGATCTTAACTTCCCACTTTTAGCATTGCTATTTTAACACGATTTTTTTGCTTGAGCTCGCGAGTCACATATATGTGACGCCCATGTTTTAAAAGAAGGAAGGTAGGTCGAATGAAGGGAAATGCGTCAATGGTCAATGTTGTTACATGTTGTTACATTTATCTAGTTACTCGACGGCGGCCATAAGGATGAAAGTTCTAGCTCGATGCCTCGTATGCATTTGTAGCGACTCTCAGTTACGGAGTACGATAGTTGGATCTCTCTTTGTCATCTTTTTGGTAATGCTAAGCGTTGTATTATTGGCCTAATTATGTTGTTTTCCGCGTCGTCGCAAGCAATCACCATTAGTAGTTGACGAGGTAGACGATATTCTGTTGCCACCGCCATCATTACCACCGAATTTAGTTGCCGCAAAGGTCTACGCGCCTGCCCTGGATTTGCGTTTACCCACCTACCCGGCGTCCGTACCAAAGCCTTGAGTGTCGTCTCCAGTAATCATTGTAGTCACTTTCATTTTTTTGCAACATTTTCCAAGCCAGAATTGATGACATGGTGATTTTTTGTCTTTGAACACTGCCTGGTGGTTACGGTACATTCTGTAAGCCTGTAACATGAAGCACTGGAATGGTCAATCTTTTTCTTCTGGCAGCTATCCAGAGAGGCACAGCGCAAGACTACCTGAATCCGTCACCCTCTCCATTCCTGTTCACTAACTATCCCTTTCCAAGCTGTGATGACGTCGCGGTAATTTTGTATCACTAATTTTTTCGTTGGTCCATAATTTTGCACACATTTATTAACTTCTGTTCGAAAGATAAGAAGCATGTAAGGTTTATTGGACTCGTAAGGCGAAATATTCATTTCCCTGTTGATCGAAGTGAACGAAGTGTGTGAGCCAAGGCGACACGTTTTAAGCTGAGGTATTACCATCTCTGGTATCGGTGAGTGGAACATTTGGGCTCGAAGCCCTTTGAATTCAGAGGTACTTTCTAGTATAAGTGGATGCGAAACCTGAAAGATGGTTATCATAGGCGGCTTAACTAAGACACCGATTTGCACTCTGATAAGTGTTGCGTTGCTGCTTTTGGGTTGCTGCAAGTATGATGGGAAGCCATGGCGGCGGCAACGTGTGAGGTATATCGAAGCAGGACAGAGCGGATCCATCCTTTTCTCCCACTGGTGCTTACCTCTTGCGTCACTTGGTCTCTTTCCTCTCTTACATTATTTCGTCTATTTCCTTGTTTTCTGTGCGTGTGATTTTGCTGACGTTTAATTCCGACACGTTTGTTCGTCTCAACTCCACCTACAATGCCTCCTAACTGCAACTGCTTTTGCTTTGGACTTTTGTTATTTTTATTATTTTTTTCATAATTCCAGCACATTAACGCCCTTTAAGCTTTGTTGCTTCTTTCTGCAATCCTTCCTTATTGCATTGCTTTTTTGCGTAGGGTAAATACTTGTCGCCTGGTGCACTGTGGAAGATAGAAGCAACTTTGTACGGTTTCGTCTCTTTCCTTTCAGCATTAACGAAATAATGGGCTTCAGAACTTATGCTATTTATCTTTGGTATATGTGTAATGCATTTTTCTTGTACATCATGGCGACAACGGCTTGAAAGGAGGGAAAGGGGAATGTGGGGGCCTTGGTTTTTCACCCCACTAGTGCTTCATGACCTGGCATTGTGTCCTCTCTGGCCGTGTTCTGCATTGCTTTTGCAAGGCAGTTTCTCTTTATGGTAATATAGAGTGGGACCATGACGACAAATACTGAGTAGGATTTAGGAATAGAGAATTGCTTCGTTCTTTTGTTTTCTATTCTTTCAGTGGCAAAACCGATGGGCATCGGAGCTTTTGCTCATTTACTGTAGTTCTTGTGTGAGGCATCCCGCATGATTCCCTGGCACGTTTCTTGTTGTACAAATTTGGCAGGTTTTCTTTGGATTCTTTCCTATTTTACTCCTCAAATTTTAGTATTTTTTTGTGCACCGCTTTACCTTTTTTGCTTTGTAGAGCACAAGGTCCACGAATTACGCTCCCCTTCACGCCTTCTATCTTACTACGAGTAAATCCGTTGGAGTTAGTGCTTGACCTCACCAGTGCCTCATGGAGCTGTCTTTGCCTCTGTGAAGTTGCTCTCGGTGAAGTGCACGACTGTTTCGTTGCCACGGCAGCCGCGAAGGTAGCTCTGTCCTCTTTTCGTGCTGATGCTTTATTCGAGAGGTTTGTAAATCCTCCTTTGCGAGTGCGAATTCTTAAGTATCATATGCGGCATGTTCCAGCCTTTGCAGTTTTCAAATTTGTCTGCCTTAGCACCTATGAATGTAAACTTTTATTGCTCTGATTTCCTGGAAGGCATTACTTGTTAGGGCATTAGGTTTTGAAATTCATATCGTATTTGGTTGGCATGTTTTCATAAATTTATCCAAGACATTGTCGTGATGTATTCTGGCTGTATAAAAATGGTGCCGGTGGCTTTGTCAAAATATTTTGCTTTCATCACTTTCGCAGGTGTAGGCGCGGCTTCACTTAACGTGGCGTCGAACTATAAGGAGTCAGAGACCGGTGTTGTCCACCCCATTGGCCAGCTTGTGGACTCTGCAGGGATAGACAGCGACCTTTTGTGCAATGAGTACTTGGCACACAGCAAAGGTCAAATCAAACAGCTTTTTCTCGTCTGTATCAACTTGCAGATCACTTTCTAGCGATTGCAATGAAAGTGAACAACATATTCTTTTTCAATGTTAACACAGTAAATACCACTAACGATAAATTTGCTACAATCAGCCAATGTTGTCTTCGCGATTATTGGAGGTGGACTCCATCTTGTTCAGGGATGCTGTGCGGGCAAATTCTCACATGTCCATATGCCGGTGCCAGTTATTTACTGGATCTGTAAAACGACAGGAACTGTAGGTAATTGCGATTGCGTCGATGTAATGAGAAGTACAGTTGTCTAATCGACTGGGCAGCAGAAGTTCAGGTGCTTTTCAACTGTTGGAACTGATAAGAGCTTGTAGAGTGCATCCATGTGCCCCTTCAGTGTGAGGCACTCGCTACTGTGCTTTGTGCTGCTTACACATCTTGAGGCTCTTGTATTAGGAAATGGCATTTAAACCCAGTGGCTGTATTTCAGGTTTAATCACTATGCAAAGTGAAGCCAGCTGCTACAAATTCTGTGCCACAGTGTTCCACAATAATGCCCTGACAAATCGACTTGAGGTGATAGCTGGCTTTTGAATGACCAGTAGTAAACATCATGCAATTAGGCAAAGATAAGAATATGAAGACACACAGAAGCAAATGCTCACTACATTGCGATGCGTAGGCAAGACAGATTTGCTTTTACATCAGCAATGAACTTTCCGCACTTAAAAGCAAACATGTTTTCAGGTAATTGTAGGAATTCTCATTAGAATGGGGAGAAATTAATGCTACTGGCCCAATTTGTCAAATTTATTTTAGAACATTAACGTATGGACTTTAGATCGGTTGCAAAAGTACCTCCTAGTAGAAGGTAGATAGCTTACTTCGAATATTTTGGCATGATTACAAGTTTTTAAGAGTACTACCACTTTGTTTAAAAGACAACGAAATTCGCTTTCCTTTGGATTTTACGTGATGCCTTTTTCTGTACTGACAGCGCATAAAAAAGAGGTGATTAAAATTGACAGACGTAGTCCAGTATATTTTAAATGCGCGGTATTTTGGATAGCATATGCAGGTCAAGACAAAAAAATCAAAACAACTGATTAAGCATAGCTAAATTATTTTTTGCAAGTGGCTGCTATCGATATTCTTACCACTAAGTATTTACTCCGTTGTATGCTGAATGACGTTGTTACACGCTTATTGTAGCAAAGTCAAAAGTATCAAAGTTCTTCTCTGTCAATTGATAACTTCATCGTAATAAGGGTAAAATCGGATGTAAAAATTCGAACGAAATATAGTAAATTTTCCTTCTATATTTTGGTGCATTTACTTGTTTTTAAACAAACGCTAGTTGGAAGCATTTATGAAATGATTGCATGAATTCTGGCATAGCTAAGAGAAATAATGATATGTAGATGTCTCTAAATGTTTCTGCATTATTTAGGTGACGATGCTTGCAGAATACTTTCCTTAAGGCACAGGGTGGTTGCAAATTACACTTTCACATAACGCCATGCTTTTTGCAACTGTGTAAATGGATTGGCCTGGGTTCTATCGAGTTTCCAAACAGGGTATTGAGAAAATGAACACTTGAAAGCTGGTCTTTGATGCTGGTGCACTCCGCCTCACTCAATCCTATATTCTTACTTTCTGCTACATTGCTAAATAAAATACCA